TGGGTGGGGGAGGGTTTATGTAACCCAAAAGATTTCACAAAATTAGTTTAGCACAAAAACAGTTGAGTCAGCATCACCGAAGGTGCAATAACATGTGAGAGGGAGAAGGGAAAGGCAGAAAATTCCTGTGCTGCTGTAACTTGGAGGTGGAATTGTACTCTGAAACATTGCCAGGGGAATGAGTTCTGAGAGCCAGGAGGGTTATGCTGTCTTTCCAAAACTTTGAAACATTCTCCTGAGATGCTGTGATGCATTGTCAAGAACTGGAAAAGCTCAGAGCCTTGGAAAAGAGAAAGTGCATCCCATGTTAGCTCATCCTCCTACCACAGAAATTAGATCTTGAATGTTTTATTTGCTGTGGCACCAAGTAGCCATCTAGTTTCCTTTAGAAATTTTACTAAATGAAGGGTCCCACAAAATCATTTGCCCTGTGTTTCCTTCATGTTATCTAGTCAAGTTTTATCCCCTCTTTTTTTATCTGTTTTCAAATCGGGCTGCAATGACTGTTGTTATGAACACACTTGGATGTCACACACATGTCAGCTACACTATCTATCATCTCTAGTTTTTCTGCTGCAAAAACACAATGAAGCCTTCCAATTCCCTCACTGCTCATGTTGCCTATCTCCAATGTCATACTGTCTTTGTGCCCCACATGGGACTGTATCTCTCGTGTCCTAGCAGAGCTGGAAGTTCAATATTGCTCTTTAATATACTGTTCACCAAAACTGATGGTGAGTTTAAAGCACTGAAAATCCATAGTACTTGTACCAAGGAAGTGAGTTCAGTGTGCCTTGTATTTGATTTTATGTGTTTCTGTCCTTGTGCTAGTAGCAGTAGCTGGATGGCAGAAATCCTTTTTCCCTTTGGTGCATCCTAAGGTAGGGAATATGAATTCTGAGCTGTTCAGCAGTTTCTCAGCTGGTCATGCACTGATGCCTTGATCTAGGATGGAAGCATGGTGGTAAATCAGAGCTCACCCTCGCTAGCTTTTTTAAGAGCCATCTTTCCTGGAAAATTAGGAATATGCTTGCAAGAGTTGCAAGAGCTCCATTATAGGAAGTTTTTCAAAATGTTATGGTGTCTGGAATGTTTTGTGTTTTATTTAGATTTGGGGAAAAGAAATAAAATTCCATTTAAGCCTTTCCATCCCACTTTTACAGGCTTGTTAGTCCTTTGACCTAAACATGGCATAATCCAAAATAAATTAACAGCCAGTTCCATGACCTGAGGTTTCTACGTCTAAGTGAGCAGGCATACATTGTCACCAAGACGTACTCAGAATATGGAATCACCAAACTCGGCCTTAAGAGAGTGGAGAGCTCTTCTTTAGCCATATAGTAAGGCAGGAGAATCAGGCAAGAATAAAGGTAGTGTCAGTATGAAGACAAAACAGTTTCCTCCCTGACACTCTGCTTAAGCATGGCTTTTCGAAGTCCAATAAAGTGGCAGACAGTAGAGTTCTTGGAGAAAAAGCCATTCAATAAATGTGAAAAAAGACTGCTTAGAAAACTAAACTTGCAGGAGTCAGACTTCTGTCTTCATGTGCACCTGCCACTCATGGAGACAAGCAAACAAAGTCTGTTGGATGGAGGGAGACAGGACTGACAAATTTGGACTTCTAGAAGGCAAATCAAGAAATGCATTTCCTGACTGGGGATTCCTTTTCTGAAAATACCTGGCCTCCAGCCTTCACAAATCAATACCAAAGAGAGTTAAATACCATAATTAATTATGTTTTGCATCAACAATTTTCCCTGTATACTGGATCCCATATGTAGATGCTATTTCCTTCCACATGGACAGGAAAAACCTGTGTCAGCTGCAGTGAACAGAGAAGTTTAACTAAAACATCAGCTGAAGCAGGAGACTCCAGCTGGTTGAAAATTGACTTATATGCTCCAGCAACTCATAGGACAGCCAAAATTTGTGCATGACCATGGAAGCAAACAAGAATTAAAGGGAACTAACTAAGTTAGTTAGGGAGTCCTGGCTTGTTTATATTCACTGTGAGCCATACAAAGGTTTGAATCTGAGGGCTGGATTTTGGATGAGATTTATTGGCAACAGTAGAATTAGATGGCAGAAAGTACTAAATTTACTCTTTTAATAATGTATTTCTGAAAGTCAGGGAAGTTTCTTCTTCCACCTGGGACCTTCAAAATTTTTCTTTTGCTAAAATCTGTCTTTTCCAGCTGGCTTTTCATGTACATTTGCTGTTCATGTATATTTTCATGAGGACTTGACCACCAAGATAAACCTTCCCTTCTTCAGAGCAAGCAAAACTTCTTGGAAAAGGTAGAGTTGAGAGTTGGGAAATTGAGTGGAAAGCAGGGAGAGATTCCTCAAGATATTCTGTGATATTCAGAAATCATCATTATTCATGTGGAAAAAATTGTATAGTATTCAATTTCTCTCATTTCCTCTAATTTTAGAGATACTACATCCCCAACATACCAACGATTTTTAACGGTATGCTTTAGTGGAAATTAAACAGAATTGGACTAGCTATTCGTAAAATACACTGATAGAGGGACTAACTATAATATTTAAATGTAGCAGCCAAATAGAAATATTTTTACATTCTATAATAAATAAAAATTAAATTAGATTGTATTGTAACCCACTAATTAATGGGCTTTATCTGGCAGTCTTATTATACTGTGTAACAACTGTGAAAATGCATGCCGGAATTAGCAACTCAGTACATTTCTGCAGAAAAAAATATAGGCATAATAACATTTATTTTTCAAGGAAGAATATTCTTTCTTGCTCCATGGCAAGAAGAAGGATTGTAGCCTGCACAAATAGAACTGAATGGAAACCAGGTTATACTTTACTGTGATCCAAATCATTTAATCATTTCCCTTTTTCCTCTTCCTTTTCTTAGTCATGCTGTGCTTCTCCTGCCTGAGTAAAGGTTATTCATTGGATAAATAGTAGTTTTTCATTCTGAAAAGCTTTTCAATGTTTATACACTACTGCATTCTTTTTTTCCTGGTGAATTAATGTTTAATATAAAGAACAGGCTATTCTGAATGAAAAATATTCAAACTGTAGTCATTTATGGGTGCTATTAAGTTTGCATCTTGGTTTGGTCCTGATTATGGTTTTAAATGATGAAGAAAACATAGCACTTTTATTCATTTTCATTAATTTTCCTGTCATCATGAGCCAGCTCTTAGCAGGATAAGCTGGGACTGTATAATGGTTGCTCAGATGTCAGAAATTTAAGATAACAGCTCTATAATCAGCTGTCAAAAATAAAATATGAAATCATTAAAGGTGAGTGATTTTTGTTTCAATATATAAAGGTCTCAATGTTACAAAGGCACAGTATTTCCAACAATGACAGTTCTACATAAACACTAGGTATTGTTATCATCATTAAGAGTTTGTAAACAGTGAATTCTTGTAAGGACAGTGCTGAATTTGCTTAGTTGGATTTAACATTTATTTTGTCAGCACCATATGCAGATTGATTTTGGAAATGACACTAAAATGAAAGATTGGGGGAAATCTCATAGAGGTATCTATTACTGCCCTCATATTCTCTGGGATAAAGTTCTACCAGTTATCTTCAGTGTAAAAATTGATAAACAGAACATCAGAGCAAGCCTATGTTGTATAGGAAACATTCCATTTATAAAGGCATATTTTTAAAAATGCTTATAAAATGTCTAAAAATTATTTTTTCCAGGGCAAGAATAAGGGATCTTGTTATTTACTTCACTGAGTGCTGCATCAGATCTCAAATCTGGCCCCCATCAGCTGAATGTGTCTCCAACAGTAGTGGAAAAATTGGAGCTACACTTGTTCAAAAATAATTTTCATCTCTCCAGGCATCACCCTTTGTTGCATATTATAGGCGTCAGATCTTTGTTTGTAAATCTAAGCCAGCTGAGGTTCCTGCCCTGGTAAATTTTGTGATAAAGGGTCAGGTGGTGAGTCACACCATGGGCATTCAGACACCTCACAGAACTACAGGCAGTTTATGGCCAGCTGGGTTTGGCATTTTGGTTTTTAGCCACTGCCTGGGCTTGTGGAGGCACCCACAGAGATTTCCCTGGCTCAGTCGTAAGAGACACCTCTCAAAAGAGTGCACTGCAAAATTCAGGCTTAATCTGGCTTTTTTGAAGACAATGCAGTCAAATAAATTGAGTCATTCCATTATCTGTCTTTTCCATAAATATGTAATAACCTCTTTTGGGAAGCATTACTATTCTGCCGCTGTGAGAGGTGGGACACCCACAAGCCCTGTGAGCAGTGATATATTTGCACACTGTTGCTCATGAGCCATTTCTAAAAAAGGCAAAATGAGAATGCAATTAAGAGTAGATTTTTTTACTATTATTATTTTAACTGGTTCATTTAATCGTCCTGGTTAGAGAGGCAGGGAGACAGAAAGTTGGAAATGCTGCTGGAGGGATAATGGTATGGGCACAACCTAAAACAGCTAAAGTATCTGTTGAGATTTCTCTGTTGTAATGGAAGTCATGACCATTTCCAGTGGATTCTCTCAAAATCTTACTAAAGTCTTTAAAAAATTTATTATTTCATTTAATATAAAGGCTTAGATTACAGGTACAGCACAGCCTTCTGCCCCTGGTGTTAATCCAGCCTTATAAATGCTGCTTGTAATTCTCTTGCATAGGTGACTAGTGGAAAGCAGAAAAAAACCCAAATGAATGTTTAAAAGAAAAGAGTTTGGTGGCTCTCAGCTTGGGAAGGTTTCGTGTAAATAATTCATTATTGCTATAGGCCTGAGAGGAGGAAGACCAGTTTAGATATTTTTATTGTGTTTTCCCATTGAAATGTGATGAATAGATCACTATCCAAAACATTATTCCAATCTCAGTTTCAGCAACCAGAAAAAACTTCC